AGAGTCTGCGTTTGCTGGTCCTGCTGCCACTCAGGAGAACTGTCCCATTTTTGCTCAAATGTCATCTTAATGACGACGCTGTTTAGGTTGAACATCGTGGTGCTTGCTCCCCACTCCTCTCCTGCTGCATCTCCCCCAGTGCGCTGCGCTTCTAAACTTCCTACCTGTCTTGTTTCCTGTACCTGCCCCCAATCTATAGAACGTTCTCCGGGAGGGTAGGGTCTGTCTGCCCCGCTTCCTCCCCCCAGCCCCCCAACCGAGCTGGCTGGATCCCTCCCTTGCTGCCTTGCTCTCTCCATCCCCCAGGCCACCCCCTACCTCTGCGGCAGCTGCTCACTTGACCATCTCCCCCACACCAGAGCTGCCCAGGGAGCTGGTGCTCGTCGCCCCTGCCCCATGTCCTTTGTGGCCTATAGGGCCGGGGGCGGGGGGAGGGGGGACAGTGGGACAGAAAGCAGAGCAAGGGAGTCAGCAAGAGTCAGCCCGGCCCCTGGCCAGCCCGGGATGGAGGCCCCGTGGGCAGGCCCTGCCTGGAAGCCTTGGATCCCAACAGATGAAGCAGAGTAGCCACCCCGAGGCGCAGGGTCAGGGACAGGAGCCCTCTCAGATAGGGACCAGAGAGAGGGATGAGGGCAGGCTCCCGGCCCAGGAGGAAGAAGGCGGCAGGGACAGAACCCCCAGGAGGGCTGGGTGAGCACCGGAGCTGTAGGAGGTGAAGGGGCCGCAGGCGGCCGGGGCAGGCAGGGGCCGGGCGTCAGTGGGCCTGCTGGGCTGCAGGAGGGTGCCGGTTTCGGAGGACAGGGCTGGGCCGCTGCTGGCCATGGCGGGTGCCATGGTGGATGCAGGGGGCAGCTGGGGGGCGCTGGCTGGTCCCATGGGGACAGTGGTGGTTGTAGGTGGCCCCTTCTGGGCACTGGGAACGGAGCAGAACCGCTGCCGCAGGGGGCTAGGAGGTGGGGGCTGGGGCTCCTGCTGCTGCTGCCGCTGCTGCTGCAGAATAGGGAGCTGGGGGCCCCAGCGACAGCCCCCAACACCCCCCTGGTGGCTGTAGCATGCTAGCTGCCACTGAACGTTGGGGGACAGCTGACAGGGCCTGTGGGCTTGAGGGGCCGCTGGGTCATGGCAACACGGGTGACAGCATCCTGGAAGGAAGGAAGTGGGGGTGACTGGGCCTGGGCCCTGACTCCCGGGCCACTGCAGCAACCAGGTCTTCGTGGAGGCTGGGCTGGTCCTCAGCTAAGGCCCAGGAGAAGCCCGAGAACATGCGGAGTGAGGGCTCCGTGCCCCGCAGGGCTGGGGGGGGACGTGCAGGGGCCTGGGCTTTAGCTGGGCAAGGGGCTGGGGAGGGGATGACACCCAGAGTCCCTGCCACCCCAAATTCCTTGGTCCCTCAGAGTCCCCAGGGGGTAACAGAAGAATCCATGAGGAGCTGGTCTGGTGGGTCCAGAGGCCAGGGTGATGGGAGGTGGAGGTGGAGAGGGGACAGCGCAGGGACTGGGGTGGGGGGAGGGGGGAGGGGCCTACACCCAGACTCAGGCCAGACTGGTGGGAAGGGGGCTGCCCTGAGAGGCGCAGGTCACCTCAGGAAGCTGGCCCCCACTTTATACACACGCTCAGTTGGGGGTCGCTTTCCTGTCCTTCCCTCCCGCCACACTGCTTCCCCGGGTTGAGGGGCAGCCCCACAGGCCTGGCGACTGGAGGAAGAATTCTTCCCACACCAGGGAGGGGCAGGCCAGGTGGCCTCCTCTGCCGACCCCCCCCACCCTCCCCCACCCCCCCGCCGACGCTCCCAGCGCTGGTCCCAGGTCTGCGGTCCCTGCGTGGCCCCATGTGCTGGTGTGTCCCTGCCAGGACCCCCCTAAACTGAACCCTTACCTTTTTGGTGCCCCAATTCTGGGTCCAAGAAGTAGCTCTCGGTGGGGGCTGGGGGGGCCAGGGCGCCCTTGGCAAAGTGGACGGTATACTGCTGGTGCATGGTGGCCAGGAGCTGCTCCAGGGCCGGAGCGACAGGAGGGGCTCAGGGCCCAGCCTCTTTGGGCACCAGCAGCAAGAGCCCAGGACAACCGCCTGTGACCTAGGACAGGTGAGAGACCCATCCCAGATGTTGGGTCCCAGGTCACCTAGGTGGGGCAGGGGTGCTCTTCAGAGTAAAAGTGAGAGGTCAGGCCCGGGGGAGGCGAGGGGTGGTCAGATGGGGGAAGAAGGAGAGAGGTTGGAGGGGCTAATTTGGGGTGGGTGAAATTTCCAGGGTGATTGGGCATCTGGGTGTCCCTGGGACGATGGGGTGCTGAGCAGATGTGGGCTGGGGAAACTGGGCAGCTGGTGGGTGTCTGAGTGAAGTCCGGGGGCACCTAGGCATTGGGGGGGTGTGCTGTGAGAAGTGGGGGCTGACGATGTTGGGAGGACAGAACCCAGTGCCTGAGGGCTGGGGGGCAGGGAGCATCGAATGGCTAAATCCCAGGGCTGGGTCCATTTGGAGGCTGAATGGGGGGCTGGAGGGAGGGGGAGTTTCAGGGGAGAAATGAAAGTGGGGAGAGGCTCAACAAACTCAGGGTAAGATGGGCGCCCTGGATTTAAAATGTGAGGCACCAGAAACACAAGGGAGGGAGGGATGCTGTTTGGGGAGCAGGACAGGTGAAGCCGAGGGCAGAGGAATTGGAGTGGTGAGAGTTGGGGCCCCATGAGGGTTGGGGGCCAGGCATGTGGCCCCTGCCCACTGCCCCTCAGCCTGGGGTCCCCCGTACCTGATGGCGGTCCCGGCCTTGAGGCCCCAGCTCCCTGTCCGGCCACTGAGCTGCTATGCCAGCCCGGCCACCAGCCAGCAGCACAGGCCCAACTGGTGAGAGAGAGGCGGTGCTGGGAGCTGAGCTGCCTGACCGGTTCGCCCGCCCAGTCCCCTCCCCTTCTCCCCAGCTTGGTGGTGCTCTGCTCTCGAGGACTCTGGAGGGACTGCCCCTGCTCAGCACCTGAGGTCCAGGGGGAGATGCCGACCACGGGGCTTCTCCAGGCTCTGTGGGGGCAGCGTCCGGGCACTGCCGCTGTGGGAGGGGCGGAAGCTGGGGCAGGGATTGAGTCCAGGCCAAGCCAGATGCAAACCCGGGTTCAGATGCCAGTTCCTCCAGCATCCAGCTGTGTGACCTTGGGCAAGTGACTTCATCTCTCTGAGCCTGGGCTTCCTCATTGCTGAGCGGGGCAGCATGGTGCCTGCCTCTCGTGTGGAGTGATGGCAGCCCCTAATCTGCCAGGGCCTGCCTGACCCATTTTCCAGGCTGCTCTGAATGCTTCTAGGTAATGACCACGCCAGCACGCTATGACGGCTGCCAGCGGCCTCACATGGTGTACGTGCCTTTCGTACACCAACCCCTCTTCATCGTCACGCCTTGGGGTGGGGGTGATGCCCACTTTATAGTCCCTTTCGGGGTCCCACGGAGGCAGGGCAGGAGGAAAGCGGGACCCGTGGTTTGTGCTCAGGCTCTGCGTCCTGCCTGCAGGGGCTCCTTGGGGACATTCCCCCAGAGGTGAGGGCCCTGCTGGGACTGACAAGGGGCCCGGCACTGCGGGTGCCCCTCTGCTCTCCAGGGTCTGCTCCCCGCACGACGGAACAGCGGCTGCCTGATGGGGACGAGGAGGCAGTCACGGAACAGTACCCAGGACAAGGGGGTTCAGGACAGAGGACACCCTCTAGGGAGTGACCAAACACTGCCCCTTCCCTCTGCCTGAGCCTGGCTGTCTTCCCGCAGGCCTTCTAGTTGCTTCTCCAGGAAGGGCTTCCTCCTGTCCTCCCCCAATTCTGGACTCTGTCTGAATTGGGGGTGAGTCTGTGGGGGAACCTCCAGGGTGGGCCCCTCAGCTCCTTTGAGGCAGGTCTGGGCCAGTCCCCACTCCAGCCGCCCGCACGCTGGTTGAGCTGAGTAATTGTGATTCACCCGGGAGCCTCTGTGCGGGGCAGGGCAGCACTGGCGGAGGGGTCACCCAAATAAACACCCCGTGAGCCAAGGCCACCTAGGAGTCCACCGGGCGGGTGGGCGGGTGACTGCGCCAAGAGGTGGGGTGGCCACCTGCCATCCACGAGGGAACAGGAGTTTGGGGGTGGCTGAGGGCAGGGCAGCCAGGCAGGGAACGGCATGTGCAAAGGCACAGGGGCAGGCCAGGGAATGCGTGTGTGTGGGCTGGGGAAGGCAGGGCCGCTGTCGGCACAGGACTCTACAGGGGCCGAGGGGCCCACCTTCCGGGGGTGTTTGGGTCTCACCCCAGCCTCAGTGGGCAGCTCCGAGTGGAGGTCCTCACCCACGCTGGGCAGCAGCGGCGGGGCCTGGGCAGTGCTGGTGTGTGACGCTGCAGGTGCTGTGTGAGCGGGGAGGGAGGGCGGGCAGGGGCCGCTGTGCCGGGATGACCTGTCTGCCAGGCATGTGAAGTGTGTACAGTGTGCGAGTGGGAGGGTGGAATGAGGGCCTGCCCCCCTCCATCCATTCTCACCCTTGGCCACGTGCCCTCTGGGCACCCTTGGCACTACTCTCCAGGGCAAGGGCCATCCTGTGGACCCCGCCGGGCAGAGGACAACCCCACACTTGATGCTGGTGGGGTGGCCATGTTCAGGGACACTCTACCAGATGTGCCAGCCCCGGAACTCGGGACTGGGGGCTCAAGGGGGCCCAGAGAGGGAGGTGATGAGGAGCCACACGGGGTGTTCTGCCCCCCGCCTACCACAGGCCCTGTGACACAGTCACTTTACAGATGCCCGTCCCCCCCGAGCTCAGAGAGTGACCCGTCATCCACTCTGAATGTGTCTCCACACACAGAACTTTATTGAGCAGCTGCCGTACAGAATGAGCCATGTGTCCAACGGGGTCTCTCCACACCAGGCCCGATGGCGGCGGGGACCACCCTGCTCCGGGATGCCCCCACCTCCCTGTGGCGTCCATTAGTCGAGCGCATGTGACGCCCCGAAGTGGCTGGACACCCTGCCCTGCTCGTCGCCCCGAGCCCGGGGTCCGCCAGCAGCAGCCCGGGGTCCGCGGGCAGGGCCTCCTCAGGCTCGCTGGATCGCCACCTGGAACCTACCTGCAAGAGAAGCGCTGGCCTTGGCTCAGGCTGGGATCTGAGGGGAGGGGCGCAAAGCTCTGGCCCTGCGCCAACAGCCTGGGCGGCCTCCCTGTTCAAAGTGGGCGATGCTCCCACCCAGCTGGCCTGCATCCCAGGGCTGTGTGACCGGGGGCAGGAAAGCCAAGCACGCAGGGAAGGGCCTGGTACCGGCTTCTGTGGCATGTATTGCCCAGGTCCGAGCCACGTGGGCTGCCGGGTCCCCCATGGGTGAGCCTGGGGGCCCAGCACAGGGAAGAACCCCCGGGGAGGGAGAATGGAGGGTTGGGTGCAGGCTGCCCCGGGTAGGAAGGGCTTTAGCCCATCTGGTGGGAGCCCCGGAGGCCAGAACACCCCTTCGCGCAGGCTACGCGTCCCGCGGGGTCTGGCTGCACCTGGAGCCCCCGTTTGGAGACGTGTGTGTTTCCCTGGGTTCCTGTGCTGGGAAGAACGTTCAGCTCCACTAGCCCAGGCCATCCTGGAGGGCTCTCTCCAGGCAGGGGACCTCGGGGCAGGCTGCCCCTGCTGTGTGGCCTGGCACATGAATGACTTAAGCTCTTGGAGTCTCACGTTTCTCACCTAAAAATGTGGCTCAGTGGTCTGGCCCATGGAGTAGACCAGGGAGCTCTGGGAGCCCCCCCACACTCAGGGATGACAGCGGGCCCCCACTCCCACGACTCACAGGCTGGCAGGGCTGTCGCGGAGGCGGTGACCAGGCTCTTGATGCCCAGGGTGCTGAGGGTGCCGCGGAGGAGGCCGCAGGTGAAGGCCAGGAACTGGGGACGGGGCAGGAGCACAGTCACTGTGGGAAAAGGGAAGGCCAACACCCAGGACGAGGACCACGATGGGCTTCCGGCTTCACAGTGGGGCCAAGCCCTCGGTGGGGAGAGGCCTGCCGTGTGGGGATGGGTAAGTAGAAGTGGAGTGTGGGTGTCCCAGCACCCCCTACCTTGGGTGCTTCCTCCAGATACTGCAGGCCCGAGCCCATGCGCGCGAGCAGGGGGAAACTGTTGTCCTGTAGCACGTAGATGCCCTGGGGCAGAGGAGAGGCTGTGGGGGCTCAGGCTGTGCCTGTGCCATTGTAGTGGGGGAGGGGAACGCAGGACTCTGGAAGGATGATCCTTCCCTCAAAACCCTGTAGCCTTGGCCGGTGGCTCAGTTGATTGGAGTGTCCCATACACTGATAGGTCGTGGGTTCAATTCCCAGTCAGGGCACATACCCAGTCCCCAGCTCTGGTCAGCGTGGGGGCGCATGCAGGAGGCAACCCATTGATGCTTCTCTCACATCGATATTTCTCTCTCCCTCTCTCTTGCTCCCTTCCCCTTGCTCTAAAAATGAATGAAAATGTCCTCAGGTGAAGGATTAACAACAAAAGCCACCCCGTAGTCAGGGCCCCATTCTTCAGAGCTGCTGAGGGCCCCAGGCTTCCTGGGCCCGAGTCACAGGGGGTGTGGTGTGCTGCCTGCCCCTCTGGCTGTGACATCTGGGGTCAAAGGCAGACCTGCTTCCCCGGGCCGGCACAGGTTGGACTAATGGGAACTCGGACCAGGTTGGGACAGGCACTGTCACGTGGGGTGAGCCTGCCACCCGCGGGGCCTGCTGGCTCTGGGGCCGAATCCTGGCAGGCTCATGGAACTGGCAATACTGCAGCCTCCGCAGGGAGGGGGCGATGGCTGAGGGTAAGCCAGTCCCCTCCCCCTCTGCCGGGAGCTGGGAGCCAGAGCCGGGAGCCGGGAGCCGGGAGCAGGGAGCAGGGAGCAGGGAGCAGGGAGCAGGCGGGCACACACCTGGTGGTTGGTTCGGAGGCTGTCTATCTGCTTCTGGAACATGGCCACCCACAGGTCTTTGCACAGGAACTTGAGCATGTCCAGCTCCTCCCTGAAGGCTTGCATCTCCCGGGGCAGCCTGGGAGCAGTGGCAGACACTTGGGTCAGGCCAGGCCAGGGTGCGGGAGTCCAGGGTGTGCGTGTGGGGAAAGGGGGAGCCAGGCTGGGTTCTCACATGGAGCAATGCAACCTCCCACTCGGGTCCCCCTGGGGTGAGAAAGCACAGGAGGGGCCGCTCTCACCTCTCACCCAGGGCTTGGCCCACGCGGAAGCCGATGCTCTCCAGGACCAACAGGCTCATCTTCTGTCCCTGCAAGGCCAGGGAAGAGGCTCAGGCACTCGGCCACCTCCAAAGGGAGCCACCAGTGTAGCAGCTGCGAGGGAACCGGCCCTGTCTCCAGTTCAGCACCGCCTGGCCAGGACGGGCTCAGGGCTTGGGCCTTGGCAGACCCCATCAGCCCTCAGGGCCAGCTCGCCCTTTCTCCAAGAAAAAGGGGGTATTTCTCACACTCAGCTCTTTCCCGAGGGCAACCCTCATCCCTGTGAGCATAACTCCCCAGGAGGCAGCACTCCCGATCGCCCCAGAAGCTCAAGGTGACCTGTCCAAGGGCTCATGCGGCAGCAAGGCATGGGCCTGGCCAGCAGGGGGTTGTAAGAATCAACTGTGATCATCCCGTCTTAAAATATCAGCCAAGAACCCTGGGAAGGATAGAAGGGGCCCTGGGGAGGGGGCTGCTCCCTCGGGTGCTGGGGAGTTGGTGGCGGCCAGGGGCACTGTGGAGGGCAGGCAGGGTCTCCCCGTGGGGAGGGCCAAACTGTGACTCTCATTTGGGGTGACCTGGAGAGAGCTGAGGGAGGTGTCGATATAAGAAATGTCCAAACCTGTAGTGAATTTTTGAGTTTATTTGAGCCAAACTGATAATCCCCAGGAAGTAAAATCTCAGTGGACTGAGAAAGTGCTCTGGCGAAGGGCATTTCTGCAGCTTATTTTGTACATACAATCAGAGGAGGAGGCAGAAGGAGGGTTACATGAAATCTGTGGGTGGCAGGTTTAGGGAGTGGGAGAAAGTGGGGGGGCAGGTGGAATTTCTGCAATTGGATAAAAAGTAAAATGGAGACACACTTTCTTTTTTAGATAGAGTGGGAGGGTAAAAGGGGGGGGAGAGAGAGAGAGAGAATCACCGACGTAAGACATATCGATTGGCTGCCTCCCACAGGACCCTGACTGGGAACGGAACCCGCAACTCTCTGGTCCATGGGCTGACGCTCTAACCACTGAGCCAGACTGGCCAGGGCAACACATACTTCTTTTACCGTGGTGGGTACAGGACAGTTAACATCTACAGCAGAGACGGTATTGGGGGAACAAGACGCAGAGGGGTCTGTGGTCTCTGCTCTGGTGGGGTGGGTGTGCCCTGAGGGCTCCTCCGATATCTCAAAGGCATGTTGCCTTAGATGCAGAAAGACAACAGACAGGCTCACTTAAGGCAGAGACTGACCTTTGTCAAGGACTCTGGGCCCAGGATGTGACTGCCCGCCGCAATGCGCTTAGTAGGGAAGGTCTATGTTCAGACCGTTCCGTGTGGTTACTTTCGGCCTCTTAGTCAGTCAGGTTGTCACACAAGCCTCCTCTGAGCTTCTGAGTTTACTAAGTGGCCCCTTTTCATCCAGAGGAGGTCGGTTGGGGCATCAGAAATACCACGCTGGCCTGTGGCATGAGGCCCCGAGCTTGGAGCAAGTCGGGCAGAGCCAAGGTAGGGCAGAACCTTGGCAGAGAGGCAGCTGGCTCCTCTCAGGAGGCTGCCGTCCCAGGCCTGAGCCCTCCAACCCTGCCCCAACCACCCCCCCCCCACCTTCCTTGGGAAGGACTTCCCAGTCTTCTCTCCAGGCCCAGGCTACCAGAGCCCCTGCGGGGCAAATGGGACTTTTCTGCTTAGAACCAGCCAGAGATGATGTCCCGGCCTCCTCAGCAGGCCTCGCACAGCCTTCTGGGACCCAACCACCCCTCCCCCCCATGACACACACTTCCACTCACGTTCCCGCTGCCGGACTCCTGCAAGCCTCCTGTCGCCCCTCCCAGGGTAGGTCTGCAGTCCCTGCCCCGCCACTGCACTGTCACTGAGTGGGGACACAGCCCTGTGAGGGCAGGGACCAGGCTGAGCCTCAGCAGCCAGCACAGGCCTTGGCACTGGGAGGGGGGAGCTTGAGAAACAGACGCCGAGCAGGGAAGGGTTGGACTCACAGCACACGGTGTGCGGGTTCCTTACAAACCCGCCGGCCTAATTGTAACAACCCCATAGGGCAGGCTGTACTTCATCTAAAATGGGCTCAGAGGGGTGGGATGAACCTTGCCACAGGCACCCTTGGGTCTTTCACACCAGAGCAAGTCTGTCTCTCAAGTCTAAGTGGCCAGGACAGCTGTCCTGGCCCCAGTGTGGTGGCAAGGGCCAAGGCCCGCCTGGTGGGGAGGCCGAAGCAGAGGTCACCTGAATTTCCAAGCAAGGTGACCTCTCTGCTGCCAGGCCACCTGGCACCCAGGCCCTTGCCCACCGTTCTCTGCTCCACCTGGAGAACCAGGCCTGGGTGACGACACAGCTCCTGTTGGGCCACGGTGTGGGTGGCGAGCTCACTGGCACCGCCTGCCAGGTTGCCCGCAGGCCCAGAGGGCCAGGCACACAGGGAGGACTGGGGGGGGGGGTGTGTGTGATGACTAATGACGTTTGGGAGACAAGCTGGGCCTGAGAGATCGAGTAAGGGGGTGAGGGGACTGGTGCCCGGTGAGGATCAGCCCCTAACCCCTACCAGCTGTGGGACTAGGCAGTGGCTAACAGCCCTGTGCCTCAGTTTCCTCACGTGTAAAGAGAGGACGGTGTTAACAGTACCCCTTCCCGGGCTCCTTATGGGGTTAAAGGAGTTGACAGACCCAGAGCTCCAGGCTGGGCTCAGGAAGCGTCACCACCAGTCAGCCACAGGCCCTGCACCTGCCAACCTGGGTGATGGGGGGTGAGGCCCGGGCCGGAGGAATCCCCCGCAGGAGGGGCTCTGCTCTGGGGGTGATGTGTCTGAGCACCTAGGACACTGCCCAACCCATGTCCCCTCCCTTCTAGAAGTCTGCTCCTGGAGGAGGCAGGGGACCAGCTCCACACTGAGCGAGCGCGTCTGTGTTCCGAAGGCCTCCCCAGCGTGACGGGAGAGCCCAGGACCCCCCGGTTCTGAGGGTGTGCGCCAAGACAAGAAGGCAGGACAAAGCTTGGAGAAGGCAGCTTAGGCCACTGTCAACAAGGGACAGTGATGGGAGGTGGGGAGCGGAGGGCCCTGCAGACCAGGCTGAGGAGGGTGTGTTCTCCCTGTGTGACAGGTGCTGCCTGAATGGTCTTAATGAGGGACAGATGGAGGGTGACAGACAGTCCCTGCCCCACGGAGTCCTAGCGGGGAGCCGCGAGGACTGTTACAATCACTGGGCGGTGCCGGGAAGCCAAGGCTGAGGGAAGGGTTAAGCAGTGCAGGGAGCGGGTGGGAAGGTGCCCCAGGTCACAGCCAGGACAGCGGGCGGCCCTGAGAGGAGACAGCCAGAGAGTCAGCAGGGTCCTCAGCCAGGCTGAGGGGGTCCAGAAAGGTTTCCACCGATTTTTTCCCTTCAGTGAGCTTCAGACGGCCTGGGTTTGACTCCTGGCCCCCCAGCTACAGGAGGCGCGGACTGGGCAGGCTCCCCCATGCCCCCCCCCCCCCGCGCCTCGGTCCCCAGGGAACTGGGCTGACAGTCCCCACTCACAGCAGTGCTGCAACAGCTCCATCACTGGCTACTGCCACTGCGGGGCCTCCGCACGGGCCAATCCAGTATCTGGGCCAATTAGGCATCTGCCGACCTGCACACTGGGTGTGGTGGGTGTGGAATCACCAGCAAGGGAGGGGAAGGAGAAACGGGAAGGGAAGGGCCGAGGATGAGCAGGGGAAGAAAGGGAGGAGGAGGGAGGAAGGAAGAAGCCGGTTCACCTGCCTGTGTCACAACCTGTCCCCAACTTTGTGGAGTTCCGCCCGTGTCCCTGAAAAGGCTCCTCAGAGATTAGGGGTTTATCATTACTCCCAGGGAAGGCAAGGCCGACTCCCTCGTTTATCGAATCCTCTGGAACCCGCCCAGAGCCAGTGCGCGTCTGGGCTCCCACGCCTGCCCGGCTGTTTACACAGCAGCCCCCCGAGAGGAAACGGGGTCGTCGGGATCAGAGGGGAGCCCTTCGGAGCAGCCTTATCAGTGTCGCACCAAGGCAGCCACCGCACAGCACGGGTGCTAGGAGGAAGGGACAATCAGACAACGGGAAGCTCTTGGAAATGAGAAAGATGGTGGCCAAAGTAAACATCTGTTAACACAGGGGCTGAAAAATAGACACATCTGTAAGGCAGATAAAGCTCCCAATTTTGCAGAAAAAAATCGGAGGCAGGAAAAATAAGAGAAAAGTTGTAAGACATGCAGAAAAGACTCAGAAAGGTGACACTCCTCTGAGTGGTGAAAAGACACGAGCAGAACAAGGCGGGGAAAGGAATAACCAGAGAGCCCTGGCTGGGTGGCTCAGTGGGTCGGAGCATTGTCCTGGGCACCGGAAGGTCATGGCTTTGATTCCTGGTCAGGGCACATACCTGGGTTGTGGGTTCGATCCCTGGTCGGAGCGTGTATAGGAGGCAACTGATCGACGTTTCTCTCTCACATTGATGTCTCTCTTTCTCTCTCTCCCTTCCTCTCTAAAAATCAATAAAAACATCCTCGGGCCCTGGCCAGTGTAGCTCAGTGGTTAAAGTGTCAGCCGCGCATGAAAAAGTTGCAGGTTTGATTCCCAGTCAAGGGCATGTACCTGGGTTGCAGGTTCAATCCCTGGCCCCAGTCAGGGCATGTGCAGGAAGCAACCAATCGATGTGTGTGTGTGTCTCTCTCTCTCACCCTCCCTCTCTCCCTTCTACTCTCTCTAAAAAAATCAATGGAAAAAAATATCCTCAGGTGAGGATTAATAAAAAACAAAAAGTACCCTCCAGTGAGGATTTAAAGAAAGAATCAGAGAGAAGAGAAAAATGTGCTGAGCTGAGGGAAGATTCAAGTGTTCACTCAGGAGGGCCGAGCTCCCAGCAGCAGAATGGAAGCCAGCAAACCAAACCCCCATCCCACCCCATCCTCAGCACTTGACTCAGAGGACAGCCGGGAGAACATTCTGGAATGCGCAGGCGGGGAGCTGGGTGGGGGCCATATGCCTGGCTTCCCGTGTCCTCACCTGCCAGGCCCCTGGTTCTTTGTGAGGTTTGGCCCCACCTGCGGAACCACTCCGGTCAGGCCCAGGCAGAGGACCAGGGAAGAGCAGCCCAGGTTCCTGTCTTAACAAAAGCACAGGGAGAGCCCGGCCGGTGTGGCTCAGTGGCTGAGCAGCGACCCATACACCAAGAGGTCGCTGGTTCAATTCCCGGTCAGGACACATGCCCAGGTTGTGGGCCAAATCCCCAGTGGGGGGCATGCAGGAGGCGGACAACTGATGTTCTCTCTCATCGATGTTTCTATCCCTCTCCCTCTCCCTCTCCCTTCCTCTCTCTCTAAAATCAATAAAGAAAAAAATTTTTTTTAAAAAAACACAAAAGCACAGGAAGCGGGGACAAGTTCTCAGCCCCTTAGCAGTGGCTGGCCCCAGAAGACCCAAAAGAAGTACGAAGCGGACGAGAATGAGTGAGCAGGGACAAGCCAGCACACCTCCCACCCTGCTGCCCTGGGCGTCTCCCCACAATCCCACCATCTCCCCCTCCACTCCCGGAGCTCGCCCAATACCACCTCCACCTCTATCTCTACCGCTGGCACGACCTCCCCTCTGCCCTGGGCTCCTGCAGCAGCTCCGTCCAGTCTCATCCATGTAGCCAGGGAGGTCTTCCTAAAATAACCTGAACCCAGCACACCTCAGTGTAAACCTGCGGACAGAGCCCCCGTCTCCCCAGGTCCCCAGGGGGCACACAGAGACCCCGCAGCTGGCTCCCCATCTCAGCGGCACTGCGCTCCCTACAGGGCTCTGCCAGGAGCCTGGGGGCGGCTGGTTTTGCAGGCTGTAGCCTGATAGTGCCAGATGCTACACGGACCCCAGGCCCTCCTGAGAAGGGCACTCACTGGGCCTGGCTGGATGAAGGCCTGGGACGCAGGGCTGTTCCTGGGCCACCTGCCAGGGCTCACAGTAGCAGATGACAGCTCATGACCCGCGTCCACAGGCATTCACTTTGCTCACAGGCTCCCCTTATCTTCAAGGCTTCTGAGGTAGAGAAACCACAGCCTCCTCCTGCTGAGAACAAAGGCCCTTTGACCTGGCTCCTCTGGCCAGTCTTCCATTCCACCTGTAACCAGTCAGGAGAATCCATTCAACAGCAACAAGTACCCAGGCAGGATATGAAGATCACAAAAGCCCTAAAGAATGACTGTGGCTCCTGGGTGTCTGTGCTGTGGCGACAGGTGGAGCCACCATCCCTGTCCTCAAGTTCTGCAGCTGGTGAATGGGCAGGCCGGATGCCACAGACAAGTTTTGGAGCCGCACGTCTGAGCCCTGGTCCCTGTCCAGCACCTCAGTCCCTCCTCTGTAAAACAGGATGAGAACATCCACCCGGAGGACTCTTCTGAGGACGACATCCGATAAAATACTGTGCCAGGGACACTGTAAGAACCCAAGAAACAGGAGGCCTGCATTTGGTTCAGACAAGACACTTGATGGACCAGAGAGAAGGAACAGAGAAAGGAGCGGCTGGGAGTGAACGAGGACTATGAGAAAACAGCAGTTTCCATGACATGGGGCTCCCAGGTCGCAAGGATGTGGGGACACTGCCAGAGTTCTCACCCTTGGCTGAGCCTGGAGCTGCCCAGGTCACTTCCCAGCCCTGCTCTGCGACAACCTCTGGTGTGGGACCCCAGCTCTGGAATTCCAGTGGCCGCGAGTAGAGGGCCACTGGTTCTCGGGTGCTCCAAAAGCCCCGTGGGGGAGCAAACCTGGGCCACCCAGTGTTTCCCACACCTGCTCGACCACAGAGACCCGTTAAGATCCTCCAGGAGCGTGTCAGGGAGAACACAGTGTGGGAAATGCAGGCCAGGGTTCACGGCACTGGCTTTGGAGGCGGGTGGCCTAGTTCCATTCCTGTCCCTGCCACTGGAGAGCAAGCACTCTGTCCGTCAGAGCCTCTGTTTCTTCATCTGCAAAGTGGGAGCATCATGCCGACCTCTGCGTGTTGTTAGGAAGATCACACAAAATCAAGAGTGTAAGCTCATAGGAAACACTGGTAGGTGCTGTTTTTGGTCACACTACCAAACAAACCTCAGTCCCCACCCCACCGTCCTCGGCAACAGGGCCTGTACCCAGTTCCTCAGCAAATTCACTCAGAGGACCTACTATGTGCAAAAGGCCTGCTATGCGGTGATCAACACAGACCTGCTCCCAGCCCACACAGCACAGTCTGGCAGAGGGGACGGATGTGAATAAAAGGGTGATACCTATACATAATTCAAACATATATTTAATGAGGGTGATAAGGGCTGCCAAGGAAAAACTGGGGAGGGGGCTGCAAGAATGTAACAAGGACAACACCTGACTTCTAGAGGTTCAAGGGAGGCCTCTCTGAAGAAGGGGTAATAGGCGTGAACACAGTGAAGCTATGACAGGTGAAATGAGCTGGGAGCTGAGGGATGAGGCTGGGACAGGGCCGAAGAAGAAGGAGCCTAGACTAAGGCAGGAAAGGGGGCATGATGGGAAATACTTAGAGAGCAGTATGGGCAGGGCCTGGTTGAGGGCTTAGAGGTGATGGAGAAAAGGCAGATGTAAGAAACTACTGAGTTTCTGGTTTAAAAGCCAGGACGGATGGGCTGCACCCCTTACCCCCAACACACAGGCCAATGCATACTCCCTCTCCCATGCTTTATTTTCCACATAGCATTTTCCCAATGTATTACATATTTGACTCACTTATCTTGTCTGTCTCGCCCCACTACAACATAAGCTCCAAGAGGGCAAGGACTTGTATATGGTTCACAGAGTCAACAGCAGGGCCTGGTACCTCGCAGGTTTTAGTTGTTTGTTGAATGAATAAACTCTGAAGAAACTATGTTGACATCATAACATGCAACACCCTCATTAGTTTGGCTCAGCAGTTAAAGAGTGTTGGCCCAGAGACCAATGAGCTGTGGGTTCAATTCCGGTCAAGGGCAGTTTGTCCCAGGCCCTGGTGGGGTCATGTGGGAGGCAACCAATCAATGTGACTCTATCACATCAATGTTTCTCTCTGTCTCTGTCTCTCTATCCCCCTCCCACTCTATCTGATAAGTAGAAAAATATCCTTGGGTGAGGAATAGAAAAATAATAATAATAAAAATGTCTTGATGATCATCACAGTAAGAATAATAATGAAAAAAGTGAACACAGGCCTGGCCAGTGTGGCTCAGCAGTTAGAGCATTGGCTTGCAGACCGAAGGGTTGTGGGTTCAATTTCCAGTCCCAGTTGGGGTTGTATGGGAGGTAACCAATCAATGTGTCTCTCTTACATCGATGTTTCTCTTTCTCTCCCCCTCCCTCCCTTCCACTCTAAAAATCAACGGAAAAATATCCTTGGGTGAGGATTTAAAAAAGATAAAAAAGTGAGCACAGCCCCCATTTATTAAGCACCCACTCTGTCCCCCATCCTTTCTTCTTGGTAAAAGATTTTGCAACAAGAGCATCCAGGTGTTGAGGGCTGATTATGTACTAGACATTGCACTAAGAGCTTTAATGACTGAGCTGGTTTATATTTCATAAAGATCAACTTCCAAAATGCTAAGCATGCTCCTACCTCTGAGCTACCTCTTCCTGGCATGCCTCCTGCCCCTTATTCCTGGGGCTTGCTTCCTTTCTTTGCTTCAGAAATGCTCTCCTCCATAATCTACCACGCCGTACCTTTTCTTTTCCGATTTTACGTGTTTTCTTTATGGAACTGTTCACTAGCTGGCGGCATACATCTTATTTATTGTTTGACAACCCTACTAAAATATAAGCTTCGCGAGGACACTGGGACAGTGCCTGGGATATAACAGGCGTTCAATAAGTGTTTGTTGCATGGATAAATGTCCCACTCTGAGACTTTGGTGCTGTTATGATGCCCATTTTATAAAGGAAGAAACTGAGGCACAAAGAGACTGAATCACTGACTCTCACACCTAGTGAGTGACGCTGGCGGGATTCAACCCAGAAGTCCTCAGTACATAGCTGATAATGATAATAGTAATTATTATAATTACTGCCCCTTATTCGGTGCCAGGCTTTGAGCTCAGAGCTGTACCCCGAGCTCTCTCGCTCAAGTCGAAGTAACCCGCGAGGCCGGCCCGGGGATCTCCACTTTACAGAGGAAGAAGCCAGCGCCCCAGGTCGCCCAGCGAGGCAGGGGCGGGGCTGGAGTTCGACCCGAGCTGCGGCCGCGCTCTCCGTGCTCCGCGTGACCTCTATCCCGCCGTCCCGCCGCGGCCTGCGCCTCCTCTCCCACCCCGGGGCCCGGCGCTCACCCCCGGGCCGAGGTCGGGGTCGGGTGCCTGCGCCCATAGCTCCGCCACCATCTCCTTGTGTAGAAGCTCGAACAGAACCACGTCCACCATTCTTCGGCCTCGCGCGCTTAACTACCACCGCGCGCTTCGTGCTCTCATTGGCCGGGCTGAACTAGCTCCGCCTCCTGCTTCTAGACGCGAGCCCGCCCACTCGCGCTCCCACTGGTCTTCCAGACTAGCTCCGCCCCCTCCCCCGGGCTCACGCGGGGCGCGCGTGAACTTGGGAGGCCGCTCTCAGTTTTTGGGTCCTCCAGCATAGCCATTGGCCGAATCAATGATTACACGTGACCTAACTCGTTTTTGTTAAATCCCTATTTGTCCACTCGCTTCGCTGTACAACCCGGAAGCGCAGATAAAACGCTTCTTTATTGATCATACTTCTTTACACCCGCCCTCCAAGTTGGGCCTGAGGGCGGCTTGCTGCCGCCTGGTTGGTAGCCGAGCGGCCTACGTGATTGGCCAACGCCCGCCGAACCTGCTTTCCTATTGGTTGGGGCTGCCACCTCCTCCCTCGGTACCGACAACAACCTTCCGCTGGCTAGCGCCCCGCAGGCTCCGAGCTTCCTCGACCCGGTAAGGTCTTCGGCGGTAGCGCTACCCCCACCCCCACTAGTGAGTGCACCCTCCCGAGTCCGGCTGGGCTGTCACACCTATGACCGTGGCACAGGTCCCTGAGCAGTTCCAGGAGCCCGTGTGCTTCCGGATGTGGCCTCTGCTAGGAGCCAAAATAAGAAAGAGCCCAGTTTGTGACTCTGAGCTGCGGCCTGAGTCTTGATCGAGCTAGTCCCCAGTTTCCTTATCAGTACACTGGACAGGCTGGGGTCCAGTAGCCCCGATCATCGCCGACAGGGATGATGAGCCCCGTTGACAGCAGAGGAAACTGAGACCCAGGCAAGGGAAGCAGATGGCCCAAATCGCTCAGATAGCGCCGGGGCTGGGAATCCGGAACTGCGCCTTTTAGCCACCGCCGGGCGCCCGCCTCTCACGCCGCCACTCCGCCCCTCTTCTCCCTAGCTCGGCGCCATGGCGTCTCAGGGCCGCCGGCGGAGGCCTCCGCGAAAGCCCGGGACGGTGGTGCGCGGAGAGGCGGCCGAGACAGACTCGGAGCTCTCCGCGTCCTCGTCGGAGGAGGAGGAGCTGTACCTCGGACCCTCGGGCCCGACGCGCGGCCGCCCCACCGGGCTGCGGGTGGCCGGGGAAGCCGCGGAGACCGACTCGGACCCGGAACCGGAACCGACGGCCGCGCCGAGGGACCTGCCGCCACTTGTGGTGCAGCGGGAAACGGCCGGGGAGGCGTGGGGTACGGAGGAGGCCCCGGCGCCCGCCCCCGCGCGCTCGCTGCTGCAGCTCAGGCTGGCGGAGAGCCAGGTGCGCCTGGACCACGACGTAGCGGCCGCCGTGAGCGGCGTGTACCGCCGCGCGGGCCGCGATGTGGCCGCCCTGGCCGGTAGACTGGCGGCCGCCCAGGCGGCGGGGTTGGCAGCCGCCCACAGTGTGCGCCTGGCGCGGGGGGACCTCTGCGCGCTGGCCGAGCGATTGGATATCGTGGCCGGCTGCTGCCTGCTGCCTGACATCCGCGGCGTGCCCGGGACCGAGCCCGAGCAAGACCCAGGACCGCGGGCCTAGCCATGACCCACTCCCAGCCTAACCCTGGGACCTGGTTCCGTACCCTGCATAGCCCCCTCCCATCTTGCTGTCACCCTCAGGGCCAACCCCACCCCCTGGATAAGGTAGTGTGTGTGTTTGGGGGGTGGGTGTAATGGTGCTCAGCCGCTCCCCCACCCCCTTGCATCTGGTTACTCCCCTTCCTGGTTCCTCCCCAACCGTGTCTGAGGCTTGGCTCCAGCCCGTGGGTAACTGGCCGCTTCTTGATCTGTCTCCATCCTGAAGGCTCACTGTGCCCCACCTTTCCTTGCGCTCTGCCTCTCTAAGTTTGGTGTTTGTTCCCAGGGGCTGATGCTGCTGCTTCCCACAGGAGCTCTGGCATCTGTTGGTTGGGGCTGCCACCGTCCTCTCTGTGCAGACACCGCTCTTCCGCTGGGTAGCTCATCTTGCAGGCTCTGAGCTTCCTGGCACCTGCCTTTACCACCTCGACTCTGCCTCCACTTCTAGCTACACTTCTGGAATTTTGTCTGCCTGGGCTGGACCCTTTTTCTGCTCCCCAGGGCTGGCCCTGATTCCAACTCCTGGTTTTAGTCCTTGCTCTGCCATCTCCTGGCCCCTCCTCATGTGAATCTCTTCCCCGTTGGCCTGATCTTGTCTCCTGGGTCCAGTTTTACCCTTAGGATTGGTTTTGCTTTTTTATCCTTTTCCTATGCTGCGCATACTACCTGCCTGATCCTAGGTTCTGGAAACCGCCTATGGTTTCCATCATCAGGCCCAAGATGAGGCCCCCTCCTGACCCAAGGTGGCACGTTGTGCCTGAGCTCCAGATACAAAATGGGCCTCCTGACTCTCCAGGTGGGTAGTGGCACCCTTCAGGCACTTTAGCTCACTACACACTGCCCTGGTACTTTGGGTGCAATATGATGCCAATTTGCAGAGAAAGATCACACACTTGGTGTTTGGTCACTGTGTTGACCCCTGGATGCTAAGAGGACTTGGATATCTTTTTCTTCGTCTCGCCCCAGCCCTAGTCCCTCATTCATTCTTCTCCCCACTCTTTTATCCCAACCTGAAGCTGAGGTCTGAGTCCCCAGGATGGAGAAATGTGCGAGTGTTCTGTGGCAGACTCATTAAAATGCAAAACATTTACTGAAATGATCAGTTCCTCTTGTCCCCACACCTTTGCTGGGAGTGGGTTAGTTAGTGATTTCTTTAAGAATGGGGGTCCCAAGAGAGAGGTCCTTCCTGCCTGGCTTATTGAAGGTGAAGCTATAGCTGGAAATGAGGGCCCTGGTTTTTTGTTTGTTTGTTTGTTTTTGGCCTGGTTCTGCATTTATTTATATTTTGTTAACTCAACATACACTTATTTACTGGGCACCTGTTCTGTGTCCTGTGCTGGGCACAGGAGATGCAATAGCCAGTGTGGGTCCTCGCCAAGCTCAGCCCACTGGGAGAGACAGACATTAATAAAATATTCTCATAACTAAATGGATAGTTTTATTTTCATTTACTTATTTATGTATTTTTTTTTTTTTTTTTTTTTATCCTCACCCGACGACATTTTTTCCATTTTTTGTTCAGATAGAGCGGGAAGGAGAGAGAGGAAGAGAGAGAGAGAGAAACAGCGATGTGAAGGGACACATCGAGTGGCTGCCACCCGCACGACCAACCAGGGCCGGGGACAAACTGCAACCGAGGTACGTGCCCTTAGCGGGAACCGAACCCGGGTCTCTCTGTACCGCAGGCCAACGCTCCAACCGCTGAGCCAAACCGGCCAGGGCCTTATTTATGTATTTTTAAATCCTCACCTGAGGATATTTTTCTGTTTATCTCCAGACAGAGTGGGAGAGAGAGAGAAAGAGAGAGACTTCGATGTGAGAGAAAAATTGGTTGCCTCCTGCACAACCCTGACCAGGAGACCGAACCGCAACTGAGGTACGTGCCCTTGACCAGAATGGAACCCAAGACTCTTTGGTCCGAGGGCTGACATTCTACCGCTGAGCCAAACCGGCCAAGGCCTAAATGGATAGTTTTAATAATTACGATTCATAATTTAGTTTAAAATTTTCTGGCACAATCATTAGTGTCATAAAGAGGTACAGGAGTTTTGTGAGGATGTAACAGATCTGGCTGACCTTGTCTGGGGATGAGACCAGGGAAGCCAGATGGCTTTGCTAGAGAAGCGATACGTGGGTTTGAGCTGAACCCTGAAGGTGCAAATATGTGAAAGGAGTTGTAGGCAGGAGGGATAGTATATGCAAAAGCCCCGAGTCAGAAGGGATTGTAACCTATTTAAGTAACAGAAGGCAAATAAAGGTTTAGCATGGTCAGCAAGAATAATAATCTATTGGCGGCAGTGACCGGCTGCCCTTAGAGATTTACATAGCTTCTTTTTGTTTTGGGGAGAGTGAGAGACAATTGACTCAAGGTGTTTTGGGGTAGAAGCTACAAAGTCTAAGCTTTAAGAACTTGGGGAGACTAGCAACATCCCTGAGGAATGAGAGTCTATGTTAATCGTCTCCTCTGAGGCCCTGCCTGGGTAGCTCAGTTGGTTAGAGTGTCGCCCTGCCCCAATACATCAAGGTTGTCTGTTCGATCCCAGGTCAGGGCACATGTAAGAATCAACCAATGAATGCAAAATGAGTGGAACAACAAACTGATGTTTTTCTCTCTCTCTAAAATCAATCAATTAAATTTTTTTTTTTTTTTTTTTATGAAGGACTCGGAGGATCCTGGGGTCTAGAAAGATTGTTATTTGAGCTTTCCTTTTTTCGAAGTGTGGGGCAATTGTTTACCCAATGTCCGGGCTTCTGACAGCATCTCACTGGTCTTAAGACAAATAAGTAAGCCCGGACAGTGTGGCTCAGTGGTTGAACACCGACCCACGCACCAAGAGGTCACCTGTTTGGTTCCCGGTCAGGGCACATGCCCAGGTTGTGGGCCCGATCCCCAGTAGGGAGCATGCAGGGGGCGGCCAATTGATATTCTCTCTCATCGATGTTTCCATCTCTCTCCCTCTCTAAAATCAATAAAGAAAAACAACAACAACAGACAAATAGGTAAGGCTCTGCTCTGCAGTTGGCTTGGTGAGAAAAGTGGGTAGATTTACAGTCAACTTTGTTTTTCTAAAGACTCAACTTGCAAGGTGGGGACTGTTGATTTTAATTCTCTTTTCCTCCTGAAGTATCGAGAAGCAGTTTCTGTAATAACACTGAGACATTATCTAGCCTAGCCAACCACACTATTTTGGATTTGTCTTTGTATGAGGGAGAAGATGTCCAACCGTCGACATAAGAAACATCCAAACCCCCCTGGCCAGTTTAGCTCAGCAGTTAAAGTGTCAGCCCGTGGACCAAAGGGTTTCAGGGCACGTACGTGGGTTGCAGGTTCCATCGCTGGCCCTGGTTGGGGTTGTGCAGAAAGCAACCAATTGATGTGTCTCTCTCACATAACATTGATGTTTCTCTCTCTCGTTCTCCACTTCTTTCTTCTTTCCATTCTATCTAAAAATTAATGGGAAAATATTCTCAGGCGAGGATTAACAAAAACAAAAATTAAAATGCATCAAAGACCTGACATAGAGCTAAAACTATATAACTTTTCTAGAAGAGAAAACAGTATTCACAAATCATACATCTGATAGGAGATTGATGTTCAGAGTATATAAAGAACTCCCAGCCCTGGCAAGTGTGGCTCAGTGTGTTGGGCGCCCTCGCATGCACCTAGAGGTCACCGGTTCGATTCCCCAGTAGAGGGCGTGGTTCTCTGATGTTTCTCTCCTTCTCCCTCTCTAAAATCAATAAAACATATTAAAACAAAACAAAAAACCTTCTACAACTCAACAACAACAAAAAAAACAACCCAATTCAAATATGGGCAAAAGATTTGAGTAGAAATTTATCTCTCCCTTCCACTCTGTCTTAACAAAAAATGGAAAAAATGTCCTGGGGTGAGGATAAATAAATAAAAGAGTTAGTATGGTACATTTAATGTTGTGTAAACTCTAATGAGGCTCCCACCAGCTGCATAGGTGAGTTCACTGACCCAAGCAAAGGTCACCTGTGGGTGCGCTTTCCCCAGCCCTGTGGGAGGAGCACGGGGCTTTCACTGGACCTGCAAGGTAGAGGCGGGGTGGCCTTCAGGCCCAGTGTGACCTAAATAGATCGTAAAGAGGGCGGTGCTAGGGCTGGTGGGCGTGGCTCGTCATCTAGAATAATGAATGGGGCTTGGCCCTGGCCGGTTTGGCTCAGCGGTTACAGCCTCAGCCTGCGGTCCTGAGAGGCCTGGGTTCGGTTCCCACTAAGGACACGTACCTCCGTTGCAGTTTGTCCCCGGCCTGGTTGGGTCTTGCGGGTGGCAATCAGTCGATGTTTCTCTCTCTCTCTCTCTCTCTCTCTCTCTCTCTCTCTCTCTCTCTCTCTCTCTCCCCCTCCCACTCTATCTGAACAAAAAAAAAAAGGAGTGAGGATAAAAAAAATAAAGAATGGGGCTTGGCTAGAGTGAGGGGCGTGGCCGAATGCTTGCAATGTGGGAGGGGTTAACGGAGCAGGCAAGGCGAGCGAGGGTTGAAATAGCCGCACAGAAAGGCAACCTCCTAGATTGGGCCCTAGGTCTGGTGACTTAAAAGGGCTGGTGACTTAAAAGGGCGGCGATGGAGTCGGAAGGCGACACGCTGAGAGCGCTGAGAGTGCTGGGGGCGGTTCCTACCGTGTGCCTGCTGCTGTGGGCGGCTGGAGGGTGGGCGGCACAGTCTTTGCGGACTTGCTGCCCAGGTACCCCGGGGTGCCCCTTGGCCCAGGCTCACGCAGCTGGGCAGGTGAGAGGCAAGGCCTCTGTGTCAGGCGGGTAATGATGGGGGCCGCTGGAACGGGGACAGGTGACAAGTGGAGGCCCTCAATCAGGGCAGAGGGGAGTTCTGGAAGCAAGAGAAATGAAGGCAGGGTCGACCAGGGAGGAATGAAGTCCCCGAAACTGTACAGGTGAGGGGAGCAGGTGTCAGAGACTGGGGAGAGGGATCAGGACAAGAACGATGTGGGCCTGGTCTCAGTGAGAGGGGCTGAGGGTGGGCTGGGGCAAAGTGTCAGGCTGCCCCTCTGCTCCTCCTCCTCTCCAGTGGTGACAGGAGCCACCAATGGCCTATGCACAGGAGGTGAGCCAGAGCTTGGAGCCTTGTGGGTGGTGGGAGCTTCCCCTGTTTGCCTGTTGTCAGCTGCCCCTACTAGGCTGAGAATAGTGTACTCGATCTGGTTCCCTCAGACAGACTCTGCTTCAGGAAGCCTTCCCTCTGCTCCCCAGCCTGGGGGCACGTGTTTACAGTGGGCTTCTGCAGTCTCTTGACACTTCCCCCATCATCACCCTGATTCATGTACTCAAAACATATTTATTGACCACCTCTATTGCCAGGCATCTTCCAGATATTGGGGGGAAACAGTGAACAAAATAGATGCCCTCATAGAGCTTATGTTCTCTAGATCAGTGGTTCTCAACCTTCCTAATGCTGCGACCCTTTGATAACCATACAATTATTTTTGTTGCTACTTCATAACTGTGATATTGCTACTGTTATGAATCGCCATTGGAAATATGTTTTCCGATGGTCTTAGGTGACCACTGTGAAAGGGTCCTTCGACCCCCAAAGGGGTCATGACCTACAGGTTGAGAACTGCTGCTCTAGAGTGAGGGGAGACAGGTATTTTAAAAAAAGATGAATAAATAATATGTGTGTCGCCCTGTCCGGTTTGGTTCAGCGGTTAGAGCGTCGGCCTGCGGTCCTGAGAGACCTGGGTTCAGTTCCCGCTAAGGACATGTACCTCGGTTGCAGTTTGTCCCCGGCCCTGGTCGGTTGTGCGGGTGGCAACCACTCGATGTGTCCTTTCACGTCAATGTTTCTCTCTGTTCCTCTCTCTCCCTCCCACTCTACCTGAATAAAAAATGGAAAAATGTCCTCGGGTGAGAATAAAAACAATAATAATAATAATAATAAAAATAATAAGTGTGTCAAATGGCTGTAAAGGGTTAAGGAGAGAAATAAATTACAAAAGGAGAACAAGGAGCCCTGGGGATGTGCAGCTTCCAATGTTTATATAATGTGATCAAAGAAGGTGTCACTGAGAAGGTAACATTGAGAAAAGATCTAAAGGAGGTGAGGGTCATATGGATAATTGAGAAAGGGGTTTCCAGGTAGAAGAAACAGCCAGTGCAAAGGCCCGGGAATAGGGAGCATTGTTACTGAATTGCAGAGGGTCTGTCCACTTGACCAAACATTAAACACTGACTTGTGCAGTGGAGAAATTAAATCAGTTCATTGGCAGGGCACCAAGCCAGGAGAACGATGAGCTATAGCTCAAAATCTGAACTCCCTGATAGTTTTTCATCAAGGATGTTTAAGAGCAAAGATTGAGGGTTTGGGGTTAGGAGTTAGGGGTTAGGGATCGGGGGGCAAAGCTGATTGGTTGTTTTTTGTGCAAGCTTC